ATTTCCCATGGGAATAGGTTGCCTGTGGAAGTACACTGAAAGGTAAATATGGTGACAAAGGAAAAGGCACAGCTGACCAAGGGAGATGGCATGTGAAAGTGCCAAGGAGCTGAAGAAGCTGACACAATTAAGTCAAGTGGACATAATTCAAGGCAAAATCATTCAAATCCAGGCTTGAGGAGGCAGATCTATACTGAAATCTCAGTTCTCTCCCTATGCAACTGGGAACATTGCACCTGTGGTAAAATGGAAATAGTAGCAACAACCTGATAGGAGTTTTGTGACAATCATATGAAAAGTGAGTTGAAATCATATTTAGGAGGACTTTGGCACAATAGGTAGAACTCAGTGATGGTGAGAATAGTTGTTGGAGCTACAACACAGAGGAATCACAGGAGGTGAGTCTAAACAGTTCGCCAGTAAGATGGGTCTTCAGTACCATGCCAAGGAGTTGTTTTTGGTTTTGCTTTTTTAATTGCCACAAGGCACATGTGCTTACCAGTGAGAGACAGAGAATGAGGAAGAAGGAGGATAGCAACCCCCAACAAGGAATAGTCATGCCACAGTTTCTTCTCCTCAATTTCTCCATCCTGTCAGAATTTGGGACACACACATGCACACATGCCCAGAGTGTTTTTCAAGGGGCTGGGACTCAAACCATGGTCAACCATATGTGATCCAGCTCCCTTCAACACTAAGTCTATGCGGCTGGTCCACCAAGGAATTTTAATCTGAAAACCATGGAAGAATTTTAAGTAATAAAGTGCTAAAGAATTAGATTTTCATTGTGGTATCTTTCAGCTGTGTGAAGCATGAACTTTAAACGAGCATGAGATAATCAATGATAGCCCAAGTGCGACAACAGTGGGGGCTGGTGAGCAGAGGACAGATCCTGGAAATGTTCAATTAGAACTGAAAGAAGTTGGCCTCCTACACTTGGGAAGAAGAAAGATAAAGTTGATGATGACCCTTATTTCTGCCTGAAGTGATGAAATGTGGAAATTATCAACCAAGAGAGGAACATAGGAATTAGAACCAATTTGAGGGGAAATGAGAATTTCATTTTAACTGGTGAGTTTCTCAGCCTATGGAAATATCTAAGTAGAGCTGGCAGCAGGCTACTGACAGATGAACCTGGTACAAACTGGACTTACAGATAATAGATATACTTCAAGTTACAGAAATAGATATATTCACCCAGGAAAGCAGGAAAGTCTGAAGAAATTACTACATGTAGGTAATTAAGTCACAAGGATGAAATATTTTACAAATGAACCCCTAAAGAAGAAACCCGAAGAGGCCAGCAGGCGGTTATGGCCAACCATTATGGCCAACTATGGTCAACCATAGTTCAAGTCCCAGACCATAGTTCAAGTCCCAACCATAGCTCAAGTCCTAGTAGCTTAAAAATGACAACAAATAAATAAATAAATGTTTTGGGACCAGCAGATGGTGTAATGGTTATATCACTGGACTCCCACATGGCCAACTACAGTTCAAGGCCTGGACCTGGAGACTTGGAACTCACATTTGGCGCCTGTGCGTGTATGCCCAAGATACAGAGAAGAGAAAGGAGACAAGACTGGCATGAGCATCCCTTCTGGGAAGTGATTTCTTAGTTTCTGTTTCTCTGTCTCTCTCACTATTTCTCTGGCAAGCACACATTGCCTTATAGCAAAAATCTCTCACTAAAATATATATATATACGGCAGAGGCGGACCGGACGCCAAGGCTGCGTCCGGTCACGGGACGTCGCGGGCCCTTCTGGGCTCGGCGTGTCCCCCCGGGGCCCTGCTAAGCTGGCAGTGGCAGAGGCGGACCGGACGCCAAGGCTGCGTCCGGTCACGGGACGTCGCGGGCCCTTCTGGGATAGTTCACGTCCCAACCATAGCTCAAGTCCTAGTAGCTTAAAAATGACAACAAATAAATAAATAAATGTTTTGGGACCAGCAGATGGTGTAATGGTTATATCACTGGACTCCCACATGGCCAACTACAGTTCAAGGCCTGGACCTGGAGACTTGGAACTCACATTTGGCGCCTGTGCGTGTATGCCCAAGATACAGAGAAGAGAAAGGAGACAAGACTGGCATGAGCATCCCTTCTGGGAAGTGATTTCTTAGTTTCTGTTTCTCTGTCTCTCTCACTATTTCTCTGGCAAGCACACATTGCCTTATAGCAAAAATCTCTCACTAAAATATATATATATACGGCAGAGGCGGACCGGACGCCAAGGCTGCGTCCGGTCACGGGACGTCGCGGGCCCTTCTGGGCTC